TTTTGTTTATATTTTATTTATATTTTATTATATATTTATATTTTATCAAAATGTTACCAAACAAATTATCCTTGAAAGAAAAAGAAAAAGGTCTCGAAGAAAAAAGGTTTAGTTTAAAATGAAAAAAAAAACTATTTTTTTTCTATTCAGAAACTTCTTATTTGACACTTATTTATATATATATTGTGTTCTATTAAATAAATTTTATATATCGCGCTTACAATGATAAAAAGATTAAGAAAGAACTAAATTGACTTATATATCAAATTCGTGCATAATGTTTGTGACGATTATAAAAAGAAGTGCAAATATATAGGTGGAAAGTGTAAAAATAAGAACATTATTTTAAAAAATATACACGCGTAAATTACTCTTTGTTATTTGTGTATTTTTAATCTGATTCTTAATCGAAATTGAGTTTGAAGAAAAAACAATTAATGTCGCAGAGGAACCCGCTAAGTGCTACTTCAATTTACTTGGGGAAAGGACAAAGTTTTCATGCGGCTTCCAGCTACTACGGTATTTTTCTACAAATGATATCTATCAGATTAAAGGTTAGTGATTAATTTTAATCTGTGTGTGTAACTCTTATTTATAATTTTTCTTATATTCTTTATATCTTTGTATATTGTTTTTTAGGTAAAATATCGCTAAATACATATATAAATATTATATATTTTCATAAGTATATAAATATTAGAGAAGCAATGATATTTAGCTACAACTTAATACAGCAATTAATTTCATTTATTATGTACATAAATTTAAATGCACTTAGAATCTATAACTAGAAGCCCGTAATTGACTTATATATCAAATTCGTGCATAATGTTTGTGACGATTATAAAAAGAAGTGCAAATATATAGGTGGAAAGTGTAAAAATAAGAACATTATTTTAAAAAATATACACGCGTAAATTACTCTTTGTTATTTGTGTATTTTTAATCTGATTCTTAATCGAAATTGAGTTTGAAGAAAAAACAATTAATGTCGCAGAGGAACCCGCTAAGTGCTACTTCAATTTACTTGGGGAAAGGACAAAGTTTTCATGCGGCTTCCAGCTACTACGGTATTTTTCTACAAATGATATCTATCAGATTAAAGGTTAGTGATTAATTTTAATCTGTGTGTGTAACTCTTATTTATAATTTTTCTTATATTCTTTATATCTTTGTATATTGTTTTTTAGGTAAAATATCGCTAAATACATATATAAATATTATATATTTTCATAAGTATATAAATATTAGAGAAGCAATGATATTTAGCTACAACTTAATACAGCAATTAATTTCATTTATTATGTACATAAATTTAAATGCACTTAGAATCTATAACTAGAAGCCCGTATTCATGTTTCATATTCAACGTTGAATATGATCGTCTAATTATTAATTGAAGACAATGTAACATTATAATGTAACATGTAATATAATATTTTATATGGTATAAGCAATTTTTAAAATTGGAGTAACGCATTTAACATTTAATATAAACAGCAAATATAAATTTTTCTCAGAAGCAATAAACAGCACAAAAAATCCTTGTGAACTTGCATACATATTTATAGATTGCATATCTTTATTGTTATAGACAGACTGAAATTCCGCGCAAAACAATTAAAATAAACGATACGTTACAAATAAAATAACTCAGTGAAATGGATGAACCAATAACACGAAGTGGCAGGTGGGTTTGTCCGAACGATCGACATTTGGCGTTGCGAGCAAAGTGAGTTTGAAAATTTATTTTTAGCATATTATTTTCAAAGTGAAAGCCATTATTTAAGTATTATAATTACGCGAATCAAAATAATTTCTCCACATCTAACAAAAAGACACATGGAAGTATTTCTCTGCGATTTTAATGGGTTTTTCACATATGTTGTAAAACAGATGAAAATAAAAGATATTTTTTTATAAATGCTTTCTCGTGTATTCAGGATTAAAATAACTCTTTGATCCGGGACAAATATTGTTAAAACTGCGTAAAATATATAAAAAATATTTTTGATATAAAAAAGTTCTATGATATCAATAATGTATGTTACAATATATAGTGTGATTTCTAACTTTGAAATTTTTATAATTTGATAAAAATAAAATTATACATATTAAAAATAATAAAGAATAGTAAATAAAATAATTTGTATGTGTGTGTATATATGTGCGGCTCCAATTTATCACGATTTTTGTAGAAACATGTAGCACAGAATAAGATATTTTTAAAATCATTTTAATAATATAGAAAAGAGATATTGTTAAAATTTGTAAAGGATAAAAAATGAAAAAAAAAAAAGTAGAAAAATATAAGCGTAACGTAAAATCATCAAGATCTGCAAATAACGAATGATCGAACTAAAGTTTAAAAATTTCACTAATTAAAATATACCAAACTCTGCTAAAAACTAGATCTATTAAGGAAATGTAAATTGGTAGATTATATTATATTTTTGCAAAAATCTTCTTTTCTTTCAGAGAAAACTTTTGTGGGATATCACTTTGGCATTGTTTAAAGCTTTAGGGTAAAGCCATCTGCTCGTTATGTAGAGATTATTTTACCCCTCCGGAGAAACTTGGAGAATTCCAAGTAATATCTGAGTTGAAAGAGATTATTTGTCGGGTATAAAAGGCAAACTCAAAATTCGACCTTGACATTTTTATGCAGCTCTTCCTCTCTTTCC